AAAGTCGGAGAACGCTGACATCTCCTTTGAGGTGTTGCTGATGACCAACAGGTAGAGGCCTGACCGGCCAGCCTCAACATGCTCCTGGCATGGCACCCCAGAGTGCATCAGCCCTGCACCCCAGGGTTGGGACCCTTCCCCTGCTCTCCTTCCTCTGATCTCGGGGAGCACAGCTAGGAGAGCTCAGCACCCAGCAAGCTCTTGCACCCCTTCCCCACCCGCTGGAGCTTAGCTTGACCCGCTCCCCAGCCTGCAAAGCTGCAGATCCCACGGGAAGGGACAGGCGCTGCCAGCTCACCATGTAGTGCCAGAGCCCCCTGATGTCCTGGCTCTGCTCGAAGCAGGTGGGCTCCAGCCCCTTGTCCAGGCAGCACTTGGTGGCCATCAGCCCGCTGACGCCTGCGCCCACCACCGCCACTCTCATCCCTGCTGTCTCTGCCAGGCACCCGGGCTGCAAACGGGGCTTAACCTGTGAGAAACCCCACAGATGGTCACCACCCTCTCAGGGAGAAACTGCCGGCATACCCTCTATAGGGGATTTCTCTATATGCCACCCTCAAACCTTCATTCCCTTTACCAACATTCTGGGCTCTTAATTTACAAGCTAGATTAAATGACTTTAAATCTCCTTCTTTTTTTCTTCTTCTTTTTTTTTTTTTTTTGAATAAATCCATCCGCTTTTACAGCATGCTCACCAGGCTGCTTTCAAAACCCTGCAGTTGACCTGGAAACTCGTTTTGAAAGTATGTAGTTAAGCCACAAATCACTGCCAGTTTTTATTTACAAGTTGTGTTTAAACTATCCCTCCTTATCAGTCTTGTGACTATTTGTATTTTGTCTTTGGAGATCTGCCCCTGCCTTTCTTAGAAAAGAAAACAAAACATGTACCGGGACTATTCAGCCTCTGCATCACTGACTGTGGTCCTGTCCCCCATCCCTGGAGAAGACGCTGCTGACTTTGACGTGGCCACCAAGGCTGGTGGAGGGGCTGCGGGTGTAGCACACCTTGGCTTTAGGGATGTTTTTGCGTCTGTCTCCCAAAGCTGCCCCGCTGGGGAGGTCTGGGCTGGACAGGCAGACTGTTGCAGGGCTGCAAACAGCTCAACCCCAGGGTGCGAAAGGCAGCAGCCCCCAGGTCAACGTCCAGCCCTGCGAGGCTCCCAGGGCTGCAGTGGGGATGGTGGACCCAAACCCTTCCTGATAGTGGTGGGCAATGAAACAAGGGATGATGGCCAGGTGCTGTGGCTTGAGCTGGACATTGCCAGAGCGGGGACCACCACACAGACACAGGTGCCCTGGGGGCTGTTGTAACCCCTCGTTTAACCCCAGCGCCAGTGGGGTCCACCTTGCTTGGCTGAGTTATTAACGCAGCATACTGGGATGGCACTATGGCAGGTGGCAACAGCTTCTCTGTCCCAAGAAGCGCTTTCAGCTTCCACCAGACATGGGGGATGGTGTATTCACCAGAAAAAAGTTTTCAGTAGAAAAATGGGGTTGCATAGAGTTGTTTTTTTTTTTTTTCTACAAAACACCAAATTCCCCATGAACAGTTTCAACTTTCAGTAGAAAGGCAACACCTAATGAATACTTTGCTTTCCAAACTTGGAATGAAAACTGGACTTTTTCCTCTTTAAATGAAGAAAGTGCTAGCATAAGCTGCTCATTGTTAACTGTTTGGAGGGGAGGGTTACATGGTGGGAGTTAACTTATATCACAAACATCTCCTAGCTACGTATGCTATTTAATTCCCTACCCTTCTGCAGAGAAGATAGAAATAACATCCAGGAAAGACTGCCTTGGCCACCCTGTCCCTGTTGCTGCTACACTTTCCATACTGTCCCTGCAAGTATTCATAGCAGCTAACCTCAGAAGTCTCAAGCTGTGGGGTGCTTGCCTGGGGCAGGGAGGGATGGAAAGGCTTTGCAGCTCCCCAAGGACACTTACCTCCCAGCCTCGGCCGCCCGTGCTCTGTCCTGCCACAGGGAGAGCTCCCAATTTATAGGCAAGACGCAGCACTTCTTTGGCAGAGGCAGGGGAGGGCGGGAGGCTTCCCCCGCCCTGGCACGGCCACCCCACTCGCACGGTGGTTGCACAACCCAGGTTTGCAGTGCGAGGAGCGGCTGGACTCTCCTGTTGTTGTGCAGGGTGAGCCAAATGGCCCAGCCGATGATCCCTAAAGGGGATCGAGTGGGTGGGAGAGACCGGAGTGGTCCAGATGCAGCCGTGCAAGGAGGACCTGTGTGTGCAGGGGCAGCTCCAGCTGTGGGATGTTTTCACTTGCCACTTGGCTGCCTTCCAAAAGGGAGCCAAAGCAGCCAATGGACAGCAGGGTTTTGGCAGGACTTGCACCCAGGGCACCTTCCAAAAAACAGAGAGCTGGTTTTGCAGACACTGCTCACAGAGGCTATCGTGCCATCAGCCACACGTGCAACCACTTACACCGGTGGCAGGCAGGAGGCTCCCTGTGCACACCGGGGGAGCGTGAAATGGCCACGAACATCAGCGTAGCAAGGTCCTAAACTCAAAGAAAGTGGAAATGTTAGCTGACATACCAATGTAAGACACAGCACCCATCCAGGTATCTCCCAGGGGTAAATGATCCCAAATTTGCTATCAGCTCTTTAAACTGTTTGAATAACCAAGGGGGCTGCAAGGGAGGGGGAGAAAAACCCATCTGAGGTCTGCAGAACAGGGGGTGGTATATAAAGCAGCTCTACCCAATAGAGACATCTGCTCAGAGCCTGGGTTCAAAGCTGCAGAGGCATGAGATGGGCGAGTATCTGGGAGTTGAAACTAGAAGTGGAAATAAAATGCACATTGGTAACAAGGAAGATTAGTGATAGGAAAAGTCTGCTGAGCTTTGTGGCAGACCCAGGCATTTGAATAAAACATGTTTGGTACATGGAGGCACAGGACTCATGGCCCCAGTGCTGGGTCACTGCTGGGAGTGCAGCAGCCTGGGCTGCCACCCGTCTGCAGTGCCCACAAGGAAACATTAGCCTTCTCGGGCTTCCCAATCCCAGGACTTCCCACTGCTTCTGCCCAATGCCTGGCTCCTGGGTTTGATCCCATTGGGTTTGGAGCATGTGTGTGGTCTGGGACTGGCTGTGCCAGCCATGCTCCGGCACAGCTCCGTGAGCGGCAGCTGAGGGCGATGCACTTGCAGGAGCTGGAGCCTGTGAAATCAAACTTCAGATCAAAATTCAGATTTTGCTCTCCCAGGCCAGTGGGATGCAGTTACTGAGGTGAATGGGGAACAAGCCTCACACATCCTTGACATTGTTGGGGTTTGCACAGGCTACATCTCCCAGCCCTCCCTCCCACTGGACTCTTCTCCAGATGCACAAAACCTCGCACCTGCAAAGATGCTTGCACTCAGCAAAAAAGAGTAGGGAATCTACAAAGGCAAATACTTTTTCTTTATGTGCTCCTGCTGGGTTTCCCAGCAGGCATCCAATTGACTCGCAGTTAGAGGGACACTGCGGCAGCTCCTCAGGAGTGGTGTTAGTGCTTTTGGGAGGGCAGTTCAGGGAAGCTGTCTAGAAGAACAAGTTGTTTTGTCATAGATGAGCTTCTGGCATAGAAATGGGGCCAGATGCCTTTGCTGCAGCTGCTTACAGCAGTAGAGGCTTCAGCCATCCCTGATGGGGGATCTGGTCTGGAGCCTGTCTGGAGGTGGAGAACAGGAGGCAGCAAGTGTTACTGCATGAGTCCAGGGTAGAAGCACCTCCAAAGCCCCAGTGCCCTGGGATTAAATCTCACTTTCCTGTCATCTGCCTCAGATCTGTGGTGTTCCCCTCTCCGAATACCCCTGTGATGGTCCGGACCAGGTATGCAGAAAGTAAAGTATTAATGGAGATGGACAGTGAGATAGCAGGGAGGTAATTACTGTAATTACGCACATGCACACGCATGCCCAGGGTGCTGAAAAGCCCTTGGAAACACACAGAGAAATTCTGGTTGCTTTACTCACCTCTGCTGCTGGCACGGCAGGGGACGGCATCCTGGTCCCTGTGCTCTGCCATCCCCTGCCAGCAGGGACACACAGGACCCATCTCTCCAGCTTCTCTCCAGGAACAGTCTGTGCAGAGCAGAGTGGAGCGAGCACATTGGTGGGTTTTAATATGTTCTCAGGGCTGAAAAAAGCCTTCATGGCCTGGAGTTCAAGCAGAGCATCCCTTGGTACCCTTGGGCCAGTCCGCCTGAATTTCTGTCCTTGTGAAGACAGGAGTGGACACGGCCGCAGAGGCCCCTGTCCCCCTTTCTGAGCAAGTGGGATCTGCTGCCACCCTGTCAGGGAGGGAAGGGGGACCCTGCCATCGCACACACAAACTGCTGGGGGAAACGGGCTTTGGCTGAGGGATGGGGTGAGGCCAACTGAGGGCACATAATTTGGGGAACTATTTTACCACCTTCCCCCTGCTCAGCCTGGGACATGAAGCAGCTGGGTTTATCTGTGTCCTCACATGCTGAGACACAAGCCTCATTAGATGCTGGGAGTGTATCAGTCATGGGGGACCACGGGGAGAGTCAGGAGCAGTAAATAACTGGTGGTGGCTCAGGAGGAGCACTGGGAACGGGATGCTCACATGCCTGCCTACTGGTAAGCCCCTTCTCCCCTTGAGGAGCAAAGCTCCCTGGCACCGTAGCGCAAACCTGGGCTCTGCAATGGACTTTTTATCCTTAAAGCAGAGG